GAGACGAAGAGAGAGAGAGAGTGAGAGAGAGAAAAATAAATAAAACTAAAATAGCTAATATTATATATATTATATATATATATATATAAATATTATAAATAATAAATATAGCGTCTATGAGACTAGGTTAAATTAGGCGAAAGAGAAAAAAAAAAATCGAATGAATGCGGAGCGCGTACCCGGCCAGTGGTACACGCACGTCCCCGTGCAACGAACACATTCACACGTGGGTCGAATGAAAGGAGACGCGTGAAAAGAGAATCGCGAGAGAGAGGGAGAGGGAGGGAGGGAGAGAGAGAGAGAGAGAGAGACGGCAGAATGCAGGAGAGAGAAAGGAGACGAGAGAAAGAGACGGAGAGAAAGGAGATTTGGTGAATGAACGACCTTGGGATTTGTCGCGTACGTGGACGGGCACGCGCTGTTGAATGAAAGAGAAAAGCCGCGCGAAAGAGAATGCTTCGTGAGCATCAAGGAGGAGAGAATGAGAGAGTGAAGCGAATGAGAGATTTTAGAGAGTGGCGTGCTTCAGGTAATCTGAGGTCCTGTGATCGTTATAAGCGAAATATTTTTTTATTTCCGGATATATATCTGAACGCGTAAAAAAAAAAAGAAAATACTTGCGTCGTTTCGAACTTTTACTTGCAATATACCGTTACGTTCTCGCAATACTTAGAAAGAAGAAGAAGAAGAAATACGAGGAAGAAGAACAAGAACAAGAAGAAAAAGAAAAAGAACAAGAACAAGAAGAAGAAGAAGAAGAAGAAGAAGGAGAAGCGGAACAGAGGTGGATCAATTTAGGAAAAAAAGAGAAAAAAGGAAAAAAAATACGAAGATGAGGATGACGAGGGAGAGGAGAGGAAGAAGAATATAGAAAGTCCGTAGTAGGTTTGACCGTGGAAGCGAACTTTAGAGAACTCGGGCCAGCCCCTTACTCCTAAATACCTCTTTGTAATGCCCCATCAATCTCGACCCTAATTCCCCTTTTTCCGACCTTTTATAAAACTCCTGGACTGTCCGTACTTTCGATGGGGTTTCTTTCGACGAGACCAGACGAGATGAAACGAAACGTTGACCGTAAACCACACGCGCATCCGAAATGAAAAAAAAAAAAAAAAAAAAACTCGAGTCTTGTTGGTTTTTTTTATGATCGCGAAAAAAAAAAAAAGAAAAAGAACCGATACGGATGGTCAATTTCGAAAATGTTGCGAAAATTCTTTTAAAACGTAAAACGTTTCCTTTAAAAATAAAAAAAAAAAAAACAAAAGAGAAAACGAACAAAAAATCGTTGGGAGGCGGTCCAAGTTAAAAAAAAAAAAAAAAAAGGGGGAAAAAAAATGAAAAATAAAAATAATCGGATAAGAAAAATTAGATTGGGGAAAGAAAAGAAAGAAAGAAAGAAAAGAGAGGAATGAAAATGATCGTTTTTCGAAACAAGGATTCACCTACGACACGTTCGATTTCTTCGTTTCTTCGACTGGCAATCGCGGACTGAAGAGTGCGGAAATGAAATGGTAGCGTGCCGAATTTTTTCTTCCCCCCCCGTGACATCGTACGTCGACCGCGTTGTTGTTGTTGTTGTTGTTCCCTTCGGAGATTCTCGATGAGACTTTCGTTCCGTGACCGGTTCGTACGAATATTCCCGCCCCACCTCCCACCCATCCACCCTCCCCCTCCCCCACGTCCCTCCACCTTTCTACTTTTTTCATTCCAATCCGATCTCTCCATTGGATGATCCGGTTTTCAAACTTGATTTCCCCTCATTCTGTCCCGAGGTAATTCAAAAGTCTTGAACAAAAGAAAAAAAAAAATAATAATAATAAGAAGAGGAAGAAGAAAAAAACGAGATATTTTCTTTTCTTTCGATTCCCGACTTTAGAAGGAAAAAAAGAAACGCGCTTTTGAGTTTCGAACGAAAAATAAAAGAAATGAAAAAGTTTCGACGTGGAAAAAAAAAGAAAAAGAAAAAAGAAGAGAAGAACAGAAACGAAAGGAGAAGGGAAAAATAAAAAAATAAAAAAAACAATACGGAGGAGAGGAATTCAAACGTAAACAAACATTTTGTCGGAAAAATCGCGAAATTGTATCTTTAACTTCTCCGTTCCTCTTCAGGGGATCCCTCTTTTTTAACCCCCTTGTTCGCCAATTTTTGAAAGTAGCCTAACGTCGTCATCTTCGTTGAACGTAAGAAAACAAAAAAAAAAAAAAAGAACACGCGCCGAGAAGCCGCCGGATAGCCAGGCTTTTTCACCATCTGGGACGAGAGAAGAAAAGATTGCTAAAAGATTCATCGTCAAAGCTACATTTAACGATCGTACCCGCCTCGCGACTCGGAACTCGAAGGACTCCCCCAATTTCTCGTTTCGTTTGAAATTTTTCGAAAAACTTCGAAATCGCCGAAATTTCGATATTTATTTATTTATTTATATCCTTCTATCCCGCAGAACAGAGATCAGAGGAGAAGAAAATCAGAGAGGAAAAAAAGAGAAGGAAACGAAAAAAAAAAAAAGAAAAATCATCCCAAGAAATATGATAAAAATACGTTTATACGATATATAACGTTCGCATAATAATTTCGTTCGTTCGCATAACTCCTCGAGTTCTTGGTGAGCGTGCACGCGGGTCGATCATTGATCGTTCTTATTATAACAATTTTTACGTTACAGGGCGTTTTTTCCTCGGATTAAGTAGTATGTAAATACACCTTGATATCACAAGCATAAACTGAGAATTTACTGGTAAACTTAAATCAAGTACATAATGCGAAATAGGGTTAGTTTCTATGTAAATACCTAAAGCTGGACGAGTGCATACACCTCGTTCACGCAACCAACGATAATCGTTTTTATCGAGTACCAATGCTTCTGTTCGTCATCGGTGTACGCCTGGTCGTTGGTGATCGCCCTTGTACACAACCCTTCCCTCCCCCCGATAAAATTCCATCTTCATCGGGAGACAAAAGTAGAATTCCAAAAATTCCCTCCCTTCTTTTTTGGAGGAGAGGGGAGATCGATCAGAGATCGGCAACTCGGAGAGGGTTTGCGCAAGAACGTTCCCCGAAACGGGCGTCGCTGATCGGGAAATTTTTTTTTCTCGACACTCGACACACCCACACACGTACACACGCTCCATACACACACGTATACACATCACACACACACACACAGCATTGCGATGGATTGTACAGCTACGATAGGAATAGAGAATAAGTAAGCGTCAGAAACACAATTCTTCACACACTCGCACCATACCGGCACCGACTAGCCTCCAAATTAAGACAGGGACCAAACGTTTGGCGAAACACAATTTTTTCCGAATAATAATTAATCATTCTCGAGGATATATATGCGACAACAAAGTTTTTTCCAAAGTGTTACACGTAATTTGTACGCATTTGCATCTGTCAACGATGCGTTTTCCGGCGCCAACGATTCGTTTGTTTCGGCAAAGGTGAGGGGTCCGCGATTATCGAAAGAACGAATTGGAAATTCGCGGCCATAATTCCGTAATAAGGGGAAAAGGAAAGATAGAGAAAAGAAATATCGCGGACAATCCGAAATTCGACTTTTTTTCCCCCGGTTTTAGGTGTTGTTGTTAGGTCTGATGAATGAAAGGACGAATTTAAGGAGCGAATGTAAGTTTGTTTGAATTGGGGGGGGCAAAAAGATCAGGTCACTAATTATACCGCATACCGTTGAAATTGAAAATCGATTGAAAAAAAAATTAATGGAAATGAAAAAAGAAAACGAAAAAAAAAAAAAAAAAAAACTGCTCCCAGATCCATCTTTCCAAAACAAACGAAGAGATAGAAAAAAAAAGAAAGAAAGAAAGAAAGAAAGAAAGAAAGAAAGAGAGAAAGAAAGAAAGGAAAAAAAAGAGATAAAAAAAGATGATTTCTACTACTAGAGAAAAGGTCCCTCGACAAAACAAAAGCAAAAAAAAAAACAAAACAAAACAAAACAAAACAAAACAGAAAATCAAAATCAAAAAAAGTAATGGTGCACGAAAAAGGAAAAAAGAAAAAAGAAAACTACAGGAGCGGAGGAGATGATACGAAGAGATTTTTAAAAAAGCAACAGCATTCACCACTTTTCACCATCATCACTTATCGCCATTATAAACGTTTAGAAAAAAAAAAAGGAAAAAAATTTTTAACAACAACAACAATACAATAAACACAACCACCACAACGAGAGCACAAACGTCGAGATTCTTCACGACGGTGATGACGATGATGATGCATGCCCATCCATCTTCAACATCGTCGGTCGTGAAACGATTCCGAGACGACAGCTTTTTTTCACCGGTGCATCCTGCCGTGCGCCGAGGGTTGCTTTTTTATTGAACGTAAGAAGAAAAAGGAATGGAACGAAATGGAAAGCGAAGAAGAGAGATGGAAGGAAGAGAGTGAGAGAAACGATTTCAGAATCGGTTCAAAGGAAAAGGGGCAGCCGACTATAATAAACTCCCCCCCCGCACACAATCACAACATCCCCGCGCGAGAAGGAGGAATTATTCCCGAGGCGCCGGCCCGTGCCCCGCGAACGTGTACCATAATTATTAAAGATATAAAAAAAAAAAAAATTTAAACAAAAAACACACAGCAAGTTACAATAGCTCTAGTAGTGTATGTTCTGTAATCGAAGAATGATAAGCAAAGATAACGAGATAAATAAATAAATAAATAAATAAATAAATAAATAAATAAATAAATAAATAAATAAAAAATGGCGTGCTCGCCGTCGTAGGCGTGCCGGCAAAAAAAAGCACAAAAAAATAATTTACAAATATATTGATTTACATATGCCCGTAACTCTTAAGCGGGCCGGTGGCGCAACGCGTCTACCTTCGCCAGATTTTCATCCTAGCGGCTACTACCACTGTCGTCGAACCTATATATATATATATATATATACGCATAGAACGCAACACGGATCGAGATAGGAAGAAGAAGAAGAAGAAGAAGAAGAAGAAGAAGAAGAAGGAGAAGGAGAAAAAGAAGAAGAGAATGGAAACCGAGGACCTATTATTACGTCCGAGTCGGGAGGAAAAGAAGAAGAACGCTCGTCGTCCGATCGATCAACTCTTTCTCTCTCGACGGACGCGCCACCGAAGAAGAAGAAAAAGAAGAAGAGGAGGAAGGAAGAAACAGCTGTCTTTTACGAGCTGTCTTCGATATCGTTACGTTATAAGCTACGATATCGAAAACCGTGCGATCGAAGTCGAGGAGAGAGAGAGAGAGAGAGAGAGAGGAGGAGGAGGAGGAGGAAGGAAGAAGAGAGAGAGAGAGAGGAGGAG